TAAAAACATAATTTGAAGTAGAATGCTCTCCTGAATTTTCTTGAGAAAAGTAAAGCAGCAAAATACTCCATTTCAGACACTAAATCCAGCACAGAGTCCCTGGGGTACCGACTACCAGCATGTCAACAAGACCATTTCAAAGCATGGTTTACTATGGAGTTGATATTTATCTGAGCTTTTCAGGCTTGCTTCTTCAACTAACCTCTAAGTAGTTCCAAAGATTGTGGGTTTTTCCCTACTGTAGTCCCATCCTCCTCCTTTTTGTGTTCATTTTCCATGACCAAGGAAGAAGGATATACTGAGCACATAACAAAACGGCCAAGCTCCTTCCAGTAAGTGTATACAGTGGGATAGTTTTACTAACAAACAAGAGATTTCGAAATATTTATCTGCAGGGATGGAATAAAGGATTCAACATGTTTTTCCTGTTAATATTATTTGTAATGCTCAGAGCACTTCAGCATAAGGTCCTGTATGACCAGAGCACTTAGAGGTTCTTGCTGCCAGAAGCTAGTAAACCAAGTAAAACAACAAAACTGGTAAAAATAAAGCCAAGGTTTGATAAAAACCCCAACAAACCAAAGCAAAATGCAGAACAGGAACCTGAAACTAAATTAATCCATTCATATCTTGGTTTAATTTCAAAATAGCTAAGTGTGCCTAAATATACCAAATGAATCATAGAATAGAATATAGAATTACAGAATCATAGAGTTATAGAATCATAGAGTAGTTTGGGTTACAGGTGACCTTTAAGGCCTATGTAGTTCACACTCCCTTAAATGAGCAGGGACATCTTCAACTAGACCAGGTTGATCAGGGCCCATCAAGCCTGGCCTTGAGCACTTCCAGGAATGGGGCAACCACAACTTCTCTGGGCAACCTGTGCCAGGGCCTCACAACCCTCACAATAAAGAACTTCTTCCTTAAATCTACTCTAAATCTTTTAGTTTAAAACCATGATGCTTTGTCCTATTGCAAAGGGCTGAGCTGAATAGTTTGTACCCATTGCTTTTATAAGCCCCCTTTAAGTACTGAGGCCACAATGAGGTCTCCCCAGAGCCTTCTCTTCTCCAGGCTGACCAACCCCAACTCTCTCAAGTCTGTCCTCACTGGAGAGATGCTCCAGCCTTCTGATCAGGCCTCAAGTGTGTTGAGGTCCATTCAACTTGAGAAGTGTGGGAGGAGAGACTGCCAGTGAAGAATAAGGCAAAAAAGGGGCTGAGAACCTCAGCCTTTTCCTTGTCTGCTGTAACCAGTTTGCCAGCCTTGCTTATCAGGGGGGCATATCTACATCACTTTTCATTTGCAAATGGCAACCAGCTTCAGTCAGTCTGTGGGTGTTACACATTGCCCCTTTGCAATTGAGATGTAATGAAGGGACTCCAGCACAAAAGGTGCCTCAATCCAGGGATCCTGTTGTGCTGCTCCGCCTCTGATGCAAACAGAACAAACAGAAGGGCAGTCCCAAGCCACTGCAGAGAGGAAGGACACACACAGCTACTGCAGGAGCATTCAGATAGACAAAGTTTTCAAATGACCTATAATTTCAGCTCGATTAGTAGATTTTCTCCAACTACGCAACTCAGTGCAGTCATTTGTCACTGAGCTCTGGGGAGCCATCCAGAGGGAAACAAGAACCGTTTCCCTGCTGCAGCCTGTCACCTGGGATGTCAGCATCTCTCAGCACTTGTGCTGTTGTATAAATTACATCCCTCCCAGCTTGGTCAAGTATGTCCATCATTCAGCACATATGTAATCTTCACTATTTTATTGTCTCATTGATGGAAGAATTAGCTGCACAGTGGGAAACACATTAAGAAAGGACTACCAATTATTTTGCCCTGTTACTAACTTCTTTAATCCCCTGTAATCTCTTCTAAGGGGGGATTCATATCTACTCAAATCACTTCACAGGAGACATATATAACGTAACAGAAGCCCTACACACCCAGGGAAAACAAAAACCCTGCTACTGATCCTCCAGAGTATCAAATGCACCAGACCATTGCAAAAGACCATAATTTGCAGACACTCTGCAATGGCACTGTCCAAGCTAAACCCAGTTCCTTGACCCATTCAGTTGGGAAGGTCATCACCACCTATTCCATAACCTCTGTTCCTCCAGTAATGAGTCCAACCTAACAGCCTAACAATAGGAATCTGGTTTTGTTCTAAGCACCCTGTGATGTCCCCACTCTGCATAGCAAGATTCTATTTATCCATTTCAGAAGCTGGTATCAAATGTGGTGAGGTTATTCAAAACCTTTTTCTGGTTTGGAGGTATAATGTGTGCATCTTGAAGCTGCAGGAACTATGGCACAGCATTCCCAAATAACATAACATTACCAAGAGATAAACATTTTACATCTGTGGATTGTTTTTTTTTTTTTTTGGGGGGGGGGTAGATTGGGAGGTTGTTGTTGCTGATCACTTTTTTAGTTGAGATGGGAAAAAAAAATAATGTAACATTCAACCCAGAGAAGTTAGAGGTGACGTGACAAGGGAAATACCAAAGCAGTGCCACCTCACTCTTGATAACTGAACTTAGAATGCAGAGCAATTTTTGCATTTGCTTGTTCCCAGTATCCCAACTTTCAGAAAAGATTTACCAGATCTTTCTTTTCAGTCTGAGTTATCTAAACATCTTTGTCTTTTCCATAATATGTGCAATGAACACTGCTGGGAATGGCTTTCAGTTACCACTCACATTTGACTCAGGCACTAATACAGTAGCCCATTAGTGTGGTTGAGCTGCTCAAGTCAGCACTAAGATGTATATTCTTTAAATTACACAGTTTTTATCCACTTCTCAGTGCAATTACAGAAGTTTCTAATATACAGTATCTTAGATGGTAAAATCAGCTGACTTGTAGGACATTTGCTATGTAACAAAAAAAAAAATAAATTAGATCTGTCAAGGCACTTTATTATGCTCATTTTGACCCATATCAGCCAACACATACTGACTTTCCAATTAAAGATGAAGACGTTTTCTGAAGTTGGTGATTAGATAAAGCCTGAGCTATTTTAGAGACACTTGGGAGGAGAGGTGTTCATAAGGAGTTGTCCACTGTGAGTAGTTTAAAGCCAAAGCACATATAATTTATCCACCTGTTGCAAATGGATCCATCAACACGTGTAAGAATAGTTAGCATTTTAAAAAAAATCTATCAAACTTAACCAAAGTAATGAAAGAGTCAAAATACATAGAAAAAATACAGACAAATCCTTCCCTACAAGGAAGGCCTTTTTCTCAGCAGCTAGAATATTTCTGTTTCTCACTACCTGTGTATGCATGACTTCTTGCTCCTCTAATCTTAAGACTTACCATGATGCCCTAAGAAATGCTTTATCAGCTCAGTATCTGTGCAGTTCTACACAATACTGATTACAGTATGCTTTGAAATAAAGATCCAGGGTCTACAGTCTTAATTCTGGCTGTGGAGGAATAATTACAAATTCGACTCCAATGCATCAGCGTGCAGTAACCATGGGGCAGCTAAAGGGGGTAAACCCCTGGGGCTATGAGGTTTTTCACTCTTTGGTGGCTACACTGTTTTCACTGAGAGTGACTGGGGATGGCATTGTTTTCTAGAAATTCATAAAACTGCTACCCCAAAAGTCAGTTTATCCCTCTTAAAATAATAACACATCACCAACTTTACGATGCTTGTGGAATTTTGTGAAATGCTTAACATAATGACTCTGGGCTCGATTTAAGATTTAGAATACTACTATACACCAAGGCAGACAAACACAAGGTGATTTGGGACTCTTCATAAAAATAGCACTATTTATACACCCAGCTGCCTCTGTGGTAAAGCTGCTGACCTCATATGCAAAACCAAACCATTATGACTGTGGCATCAATTCATTAATCAAAGTGTCAGAGCATCTTATGATCAAATGAGAGAGGTTCCTCTACTTTTTATGACAGCAGTGCTTGTGATACAGCTATACTGGATCCATCTGTGATTGAACTGGAAACCAGCTATTTTCTATACTCAATGGAATTCTGATTTATGATGTGCTTGAAATTACTGTGGATTTCTATTAAAGACAAACACTTTGTGGTAAGGTCCCATACTTACCTGTAATTTAGTTATGTAACAGTAGTATCCTCCATAGACCCCACATCCTTTGGGGTTTTATGTTTTTCAGATATGCAACTTTCAGAGCCAACTTGGCATTTTTTTAAGAGCTTGGCCTTTTTCCTGAGGCCCTAAGAAAACCTCAAGCCATGAAGGAGCAGGGAATTTATACAGGTCTGCACAGACTCAATCAGCAGTTTCCTTTCCACTGACATCCACAGGAAGCCAGCACGTATGGAAAGATGGGGGCATGCAGACATCAACAATTACAGATAGGCCACTTTTCCCACATTTGGAAATGTACAGCTCAAGGCTTACTATTTAGTCAGTGTCTTTAGTGCATGAGAAACCTCTGCTAGCTGGCAGATTTCCTCTTTGAGAAGTTTATTCATTTATTCTATTACTCAGCATAGGCAATGGTAAAGTAAAGCTGCAGGACAACAGAAAAGGGCCAAAGAAAATTACATTTTAGGTGAAGCTGTAATGCTCAAAGGCGAGAAGAATGTTTCTAGTTGGTAAGTTACCACATTAAAATATGTTTTGTGCCTCTATTTTAGGTTTACTCACAGAGCCAGCCACTGAAATAAAGCGTGGAAGAATGGCACACAAGCTCATACAGACTCATACATCCACTTGACTTACCTACACATTCTGAAGATGACAGGATCTACTGCAAAAAGAAGAAATTTATGTTCCAAGACTGCAGTCCTCTCATTAATTCATTTCACTTTTGCACTACAAGACTGCTTATAGAGACTTATTTCTGACTCAGTCTTTAGAAACATACCCTCTGGCATCATCTCTTCTGGCTGAGAAACCTTTATAGGACAAAAATTACTGACTCAGGACCTATCCAGGAAAAGAAACTGCAAATTTAGGGAACCAAGGTACAAAAAGGTAACGTACCCTTCCTCAATTGTAACAGAATTCATGATGATGCAGTTTGTTATCTTAACTTTGTCTTTTATGGTACACATGCTGCCGATGATGGAGTGTTTAATGGATGTCTTCTCCCCGATTTGTGTGGATGACCCAATGATGCTGTCTGATCCAACCTAGGGAAGAAAACAACAGAAATTAGCAAATGCATGAGTTCTCCAATATGTGTTCTCCATACACCTCGTCTAAACAGTGTGTCTCAAGCACTCATCAACAAAGTTTACCATGCTCCACCCTGAGGGATCCTTGGCAGAGGAAATACCTAGAAATTTGGGCAGTTGGATGGTATTCTCAAGGTCCATTAGCTTGGTCAAACTCCATTAGCAGGTCTGGCTCTGTAGGTCTCATTCATTAAGGTAAGAACAGTCCTGCAGGTACTCACTGGTTTCACTCAGGTTTGCCCAGTGAGACCTATCAAAGGGAGGCCTGAAGCTGATACTCAACCAAAATGCTTTAGCAAGAAGCAAAGCTAAAATAGTGACCCCTTCTGGGTTTGGTGTCCTTTGGGAGGCAAACTGCTCAACTACCAGGAACTGCCATTAGGGAACAAGATTCTGCAGTGGGGTCTTGGGAGTTGGATAGAATTTATACCGAAAGACAGAGACTGAATGGCAGGAACCCATGGGTGAGTCTACAGGAGATTCTGGGCTGTATCACCTGAACTGCCATTCCATACTTCAGAACTCAGCTTCACTTCCAACGATGGAACTGAATTTTAGCGAGGAGTTTTTGAAGCAAAGTGTGTGCAGACTGTATTGAAAGAGCAGAGGTAGAAAAAGGGAACACTTACCATGCCTCTGTCAGTGATCTGTGCAGACCCATGAACCAGTGGCTCTTCCAGACCCAGGTTAAGCAATAGCTTGGGAACCTGGATGGAAAACCCCACATCACAAGTTAACATGACAGTTCTGTACCCACACGTTACATAAAGCAGCTCAAAGATGGTTTTAGTTTCTATTGCACTACTGCATCTGTCACAAACATTTTAATTTACCGGAAAAAGCGGGTTACTGCATTTTAAATGTCCCCCGGGTAAGTGTGATTTATTATCTTCCACTTTTGTAAAGGAGGCAGGTACGCACTGCCACTGCAGTGCACTGCATGTCTCCTTTCAGCTCGGTTTCCCACCTGGGGAGAAGCAGTGGATCAGCAGCAGCAGCAGCAGGTTGGCTCCAGCTGAACACAGTGACATCCTGTACGTTACTACAATGTCCGGCATCTGCCACCGCAAATGCTGCTCAGTGTGTTTTACGCTGCTCAGTAAAGCAAGGGAGGGAAGCAAGTAATACCCAACATAAATCAGTAAACTGGCTTAAAAAGATGACTGTGATCAGCCCACTCCACAAGGCAGCACACTGAGGAACAGGCAACAAAATCGTATTTCAGATGTTTAAGCAGAAAGAAACTGAAGTTGATCAAGTGGCTATTCCAGATGGTAGAAAGCTGCACAAGAAAAGGCTCTTGACAGGGAGAAGGCAGGTGTTAGATAAGCAGGCAAAGCAGCGATGGTAATAGAGAGAGACACAGTCCGTGAGGTAGCCAAGAACAAATCCACGGAGAGCAATTCTGAACTGGCTCCTGAAAAGAAAGAGGAGCCAGCGTTGCAGGAGGATGGGATATCACTCCATCATTATTCCTCCTTTCGTGGGTGAAAGAGCAGCCTGAGGCGTTCTGCATCTCCTGGCGTCAGGCTGGGGCCAAGGTCACACACCACAGAAGAGGTGATGACAGCCTGGATGGGGATTTCAGGGGAGGTGGGAGCCTTGCAGCGATGCAGACACGGTGCTGCACAGTTACTGGCAGGGGTGATGCAATGCATGATGTGTCTCGGTAGGACAGAGATGGCAAAGAAACCCAGAGGACTCAGAAGGTGGCAAAGCGATGCACGAGGGCTAAGAGGTCTGCGTGCCAAGCAAACTGAACTCCTGAGAGAGAGTCAGCATTTGCTGGGCTGCTGTGGAGCTCCCCACATGCTGTTTGGCCACCAGGATGTGCGCATGGATTGTCCATCTGGGAGGTCAACTGGAGTCTCAGCACAGTGATGGTGCAACTGGGTTTGCCTGAAGGGAGGGAGCAGCACTCATTAAGTCTCTCTTTTCTCTACCCAGGCACCTATTTTTACAAAACTCTTAGAAATGTTTATCTTTGAGATCTTTATTGCTCTGTTGAATTTGGCTGAATGTTGCCAGCAATTTCCAAAGTTGCTATGAAGGAACTGCCATACAGTACAGTTGTGTAAAATGACCTCCTCAGAAAGCTGGGATAACAAGGGCTGATGGCTACGGAGTGAACCTCAGGAAGCAAATCCCACAGATCTGAAGAAGATGGGACCAGATCAGAAAATAGATCTCAAGGTCTCGAATGAGATGATACTTGCAGGAAATTATTTGGATATTCATAATATGACCAGCCTGTTTCCCTTCCAGCATTGAAGGATGGATAAATAGTGTTGGTTTTCACATGGTAAGAATTTTCACAACTGATGCTTCATTCAGGTGAGTGAGGTGAGCTCAGATGAACTCACACATCTGAGCTATCATTTCTATTTGCCCGTTGTCACCAGCAGACGTTTTCACATCTGTAGCTCTTTACATCTTGAAGTTGGTCCTTCCCACTGGATTTGTGTTTTGTTTATTTTTTAAAAAATAAGAGTAGATTAGATCCTTCAGTCCAAGGTGCAGGCACTACAGAAAACCACCAGCTTACCAGAACACCACAGACTAGGACAATCCATCCAGATGATGCTGGCTGGGTGAAGGGACATTGTCCTCACCTGACACAGAGATCCAAGCAAAGAACACACACCAAAGAATACCTACAGCATAGGCTGGAAAGATTCCTGCTATCCACTGCTGATCTGTGGGAGGGGAACGAAATGAAGAAAGGCTCTTGCCCTCCTCAGTGGAAAGGTGGAGTGGTGAAATAAATAAAGGATTTTACTGGCCAGAGCAAAGCCCTTATTAGAATCAGTCAATGGTAGTGCAGCCTGAGGGGTAACCCAAGAAAGCTACCAGCTCAAGCATTTTACTCTGAAAAGGAAGGTTAGACAGGGGGCAGGAGTCAGAGGGAGTGCCTGGGTCAAGGCAAGGTTTAAGATGTGTTTGGATTTAATTCATCTTACAAAGAAACTATTTCCTGCTATTGAAGATAACTCCCTCCTGAACCCACCTGCCCACACACAGGCTGCAGGCATCCAGAAAACCAGCTGGAAGTGAAATGATGTGAGCAAACTGTTTCCTCACCAGAAGGGCAACGGGTTAGGATGCCATTCCTTCCCACAGCTACTGGACTGGACTGCTACTGCTCCATAAGCCTGTCCTTCTGGACCTCAAACTCATAGGTCCTGCCTTTGCAGCAGGGGAATCAGAATCTGGTCCGTGAAGACCAAGACAGGGGCAAACAAGACACCAAAAGTCTTCCTTAATGACCAACAAAACAGGTAAAAAAACCAGTTCAAATTAATTGTGTATCTTTTATGAGGATTAGCAAGACAAACAAAATGTGGTGGCACTGAAAAAAGGAACTCCTTTCTCACAACTCCTCATTAAGGCCCGTTTTACGTTTTACCTCAACATAGTTTCCTTCGAAATTTGACCATCCTGAAAAAGTTAAAAATTCAAACAAAATCCTTTCCAACGTTGAAGGCCCCAAAGTGATTTAAAAACACTAATTCTTTGTACCACCCAGGAGCAAACATATTTCCTGAACTGACCAAAATATAGAATATTTAGGTTACAAAAAAACCCAACCAAAACCCAAAACAAAAAAACCAACAAAACCAAAACCCAACACAAAAACCCACATGGAGTCTGACTGGCTTAAGTCAATAACTTTTTACTGAAGTGGTTGCTGCCAAATGTACACGCACACTTCCCCTAGCAAGCGGTGTTCACCTTTAACCCTTTGGGCACACTTGTTCCTGCTATTCCTGGGGAAAGTTTTCTCTTTCTGACAGCAATGCTGCCTCTCTTCCTCATGCCTCCAGCCACAAAGCAAATAATTTTATTTCTGTGTTCCTTTACAGGCACCTGGGAGAAAGAGCTCCAGTGTGTAAACTCACGCTGCCACGCTGCAATTCTGATGCGCATGAATTAATCCATTCACGTTATTTAAAAGAAATCAGCTCAATCTGAGAGCAAATGCAAAGCAGTAATCACTTCCAGGATGCTCAAAACAACGTTATCGCCCTCCCAGCCCCACTTCCAGAAGTCCTGAGTCTTTCCTTACTGCACTCCTTATAGGTCTTTCAAAACTTAAAGGAACCTGTCCATTCCTGATAGCAGTGAAGTTCATCACTGGCAGAACAAAGTGAGAACTTGTACATTGCATCAGCCAGTGTAGTAAAACCCCCCAAAATGACCCAAATCTCCACCCTACAAACATATTAAGAGCTTTTACTCATCAGCTCATTAGCTAGTACAGGATTTCTCTAATCCTCCCCTGTGATTTTTTTATTTTATGAATTCTTAGTAGTGTGAAAGTGAAAGCTGCAACAGATGCTACACCAGATCTACCTTTCACCTCTGTGTTTACTTGGAGTACGACTGTAGTGAAACCTGTTCATAAAATAATTCTTTCATCATGGAAATCATTAGGCAATTTAAATGTAAGGGTAGTTTAAGTCTTCCTGCAAATTGCTAATAACCTTTGCCATTATCACAGATAAACATCTGCTAGGAAGAGTCCAGTCAGAACTGAGCTTGCCTTTAGGACATGGAGGACACTGATTAGATAAGGTATCAAAGCTACTTCCATTCTTATTTTCCACACTTCTTGGCTCTTTGGCTGCAGGTCTCGTTTCCCAACCCCAACAAAAAAAACCCCACAGGACTGTGTGGGGTGAAGGTTTTCTTAGCTAAATCAAAGCTATGGAGTAAATTAGCGACAGAACTGTTTCCTGGCCTCACATCCCTATCCAGCAAGCAGTAGGGTGATGTGCCTCGATAAGATGGCAGTGGTTCAATTCCCACATACTCCTCAGCTGTATCGCAGGGAGCCACTCCTGGAGGGTAAAAACGTGCCATAAACTACTGCTCTACTCCCAGGAGGCAGTTCTGTGTTTTCCTCACCTGTCTGTTCGCTTCAATATACAGCCCAAGAGTGTTCACTCGGAAGCACAGCCCCTCTTTCATGATGTGGACGTAGCAGCGCACTTTTCCTTCGTGGAGAGTTTCAGTCATATCTCCTCTGTGATCATTCCAACAGGAGTTATCTGGAGCAGGTTTCAGCAAGCTATTATCTTCCTTTATGAAACTATAAATGTCTGGAGAACACACACATGGCATGAAGTTAAGACAGGACTTAATGAAATACTTTCTGAAAGGGAACACCATTATAATAGTGGTGGTGAAGGGAAATCTTTGCCTCACCTCATCTCAATGGCTGGATACTTAGCAATCATTAACAGATTTTATCACATGTAGTGAGTAAGTGCTTATTTTTATTCCGCAGGTGTGAATCAAGGAACCAGGACAGATGCAATGTTTTGCCCAAGGTCACACAAGGAGACAGCGGAAATGTTAAAAATAAGTTCCAAGATCTGAGATCCTGTCCGGTTCTCAGTGTGGGGTGGTTCAGGCTTAGCCTGTTATCCTACGCAATTTTAGGAACTCCCCCCTAAAATTACATTTTCAAAAATGCATTTACATATCCTGTGTTCTGGAAGAAAAAATACGAAGCCCCTAGCTGATTTGCTTAGGATTTACATCAAAATAAGGAAGGACAAAAATATTTATATAATGCATAATACTGTTTGAAAAAGTAATCTGCTAGAAACTTTACTATCATGAGAAAAGACCCCATGATCTTCAAACAAGTGTTTCAGGCTAATTCTGTACTCCACTCAATAACTTAGCTGTAGCATATGAACTTTAAAACTTTCATATACCCACATCTTTGATACTTGTACTGACCTAGAGATGCTTGTTCTTTTTTCTTTTGGTCCTCTTCTTTGTTGTCTAGTCCTTGCTGCAGGGATGTGGGAGAAGAGAACTGTTTCCTAACCAGATGTGGAATCAGTTCACTCCGGAGAGATGTGATTGTCCTGGGGAAGGAGATGCACAGATGAGGTTCATGAAAGCTAAAACTTACATGCCTTCATTTTCTTTGCATAACATTATCAGATATTTTGCACATTTTTCATGAGGATAAATCAAAATGCCAGGTATTGCAAGACACTAAGACAATGTCCACTAGTCATCTGCTTCCTTGGTGCATTAAAACATAAAGAAAGACTGAAAGTAAGGAAAAAACTTCATCTTTAAAACTAATTCCCCTGTATTTTAATATAGCATCACACTGCAATTCATACTTGTGTGCAGGTGGAATGCAGAAAGTACCAATATTATAATGACAACAACAAAATCCTCTTTATGTGGCTTAAAAAATGGCATCAATTGACATACAAAGAGAGAATAAAGAGTGTTTAGAGGAAAAACTAAAGCAGTTCCTTTTCTTTGTGATAAAAACATGAAAATGCTCAAGGATATATGAAATATCAGATCCTTAAATTTATGATGCATACATTAATGATATTCTTGCTCACATGGAACTTTCAGAACATTTTAAGGACTAAGTCCTTTAAACCAAGAGAAATCAGCACATTTTAACTAGTTTAGGTCCCAAGACTTTGCTGCTCTTTCTTTAGGTGCTCTGATGCAAATTACATCAGTGAACAGAAAGCCTCCAAAGGCTTCAGCTGGCAATGCACCCATCTTCCCTGCCTACAGATTTCAACTTTTATTACATCCATTCTGACACCACAATACCACGAGGCAGAGAAAACACAAGGGGTTTTAGCCCAAGCCACATATGCCTTAAACAAGGACCCTGATCACTACATTATCTTTACTCTTGCATTCATTTATACATTGCAATGAATCAAGAAAAAACTCTCCTAAATGACAAACATCAACGTAGACAGTCTATTGTACAATGGGATTATAACCCTGTTAATTCAATTTTGACTACAAGAAGATAATTTTATTTTTCAATAAAGTATTTGGGAAAAAAACAAATCAACAGTTTTTACAGTTGGTGCGCAGTCTTAAAAGAGCTTTATTGTTGTTGTTCCATTATTTTAACAATCTCCATTTAGTTACTGAATTGTGGATTATTTAAAGTAGTACTTGGGAAAATCATGTGGAAAATGAACTCAAACTTGGCATGTGTAAGAGGAAGTGCTAAACTTCAGAGGAAGGACTGGGAGAACTAACACACCGAGCTTGGCTAGAGGAACTCAACAAACAATAACCCACAAAGAAAGAGGAGTTATTTAGAATGGAAGACAGCAAAACTAGGAACTAACTGAACTAACAGGTTAAATTACAAAAGGAAAGTACTAGAATGAGCATCGTGAAAATTATTTTGGTTGGCAAAATCTCTAGCGAAGGGGGGAACCTTACACAGCTCAAACTTTTAGAAACATCCAGTTCAAAAACCACCCAGGCTCTTGTTCAGGTCAACAATAGCGAAGCAAACCTAAGGACCAAAGCAGTCTTTCCAGCCTCTGAATCTGAAGGGAAGGTTCGGATGTGATTGCCAGCTCAGCCCTGTGAACAAATACAGGGTGTTCCTTTTTCCCTGACAAACTTTTCCTTCAGCCCTCAACGGCAGGTTGTGCCACATCCTTCATCCTGCAGCGGGATGACCCAGCCCACCCCAGGCTCTGAAATTCGGCTTTTATTTTATATGACAGGCAAGGAAAAGCTCTGAGTCTTCAGCCTCTCCTCCCTCTCGAAAAATAAGATTATAATCACCTTCAGATAGCTGCATTTCAGGAACTAACGAAGCAAAACACTTCGTTCTTTAATCACCGAGTTTCTCCCTGCTAACCACTTACAGGCGTGCTCTGCCCTGGCCGCCCCGGCCCCGCGCTCCCACACACGTGTGGCTGTGCAGATGGGCAGTTTACTAGCTCACAATGTTTGCCTGCAGCTGTGCCATTCAGCAATGATTTCCTGCTTGGGTTTTATACTTCATCCAAAACCGACAATCCTCTGTTTCCCTCAGAGGCTGGCTATGGCATTTATAAGATATATTACCTATAAAATACCCAAGTATTTGGCAGTCTTAAATAGTCTGATGCAGAGGACAACACAACACGGTAGGAAATGAAAGCGGTGGAAAGGGGGAAAGACAAAGTTTTGCCTGGTTTTTGAAGGTTTAATCTTTCTTGGCCAAACTCCTGAAGCTTTCCTGCAATTCTCTGAAGTGCTAGCCACATTCCTTTGCCAAAGGTGGAGCAAATCTCCAGGTCATCCATAAGATGTGGCTCAGAAACACACCCTTCTTACTGGAAAAGGAAAAACAGGAAGGTTCGCCTTTGCTTGCTGTTTAAGCAATTTATATGCAACATTAAAGGAATTTGCCTTTGGAAAATATTAAAAATACACAGTAAGGCCCTCTGTGAGAAAAATTTGGGAATTTTTTGTAACAGATCTTGCAAATGTAGATATATGAAGTGATACAGTGACACTATTATCTGACTGTCAACAGTGGGGGAAACCAAACATCTGGCTGTGACTAGGAAAGAAACTGAAATCAAAGGAGGCACAGGACTGAAGACCCTTCATCAGGAGAGAAAAAAATTAGCAGAGTTTGGAAGAACCAACTGTAATCTAGATACAGGAGACAACAAACCAAAAAGGTTTCTGGTCTGGTGTGCTCAAAATTCTTACAATCAAATCCTGAACTTCACATACCTATATTAAGAAGAAATAAGCCTAAGCGTGCATAGGCTGAAGAAAGCACTTTTTGTTATTCTCTTCAGGTTTTAAAATTTGGATCCCCTGTTTTCTAAAGCTTGTTGTTTTCTTTAGCACCAAGATGTGGAAATGAAATACCCACTGAGATCAACATAAGGAAAAATCTTGTATAACCAGGAGAAAGAAAGTAGAGGGGTGGGTGGAAGGAGAGGAGGGCACACAAAATTTTGGCAGAAATCCAATTCTAAGCCAACTTGGAGTAAGCATGCTCTTGACACCTCACTGCAAAATCCAGACGGTAGAGAGCATAAACATGAACCTGCCTTTGAGAAACATTGGCCAAAATAAATATGTTTTCATAAAATCTAGCCCAAGCAACAAGCCCTTTTCCATGATCTTTCATTCCCTAAACTCTGATTTTAGAAGTTCTGTTTTCACCCCAAGAGAAAGTTGCAGGTTTTCAGTCAAACCACCAAAGATGGAGAGTGGCATTAAATGGCTGCTTGTAAATGAAGGGAGGGACACGCATTTTATGTGGCTTCTGCTTCCGGAGAACAAGAGGAGATGGCATCAATTTTGAAAGGGGTTGATACCGATCCCATTTTAAGCATGTAAAAAGAAGTATCTCTGGGGTGGAATCTGCCATTCACCCAGCAGGTCACAGACAGGGAGGGGGTGTTGGCATAACTGGGGGAAACGAAGACAACTGGGCAGTTGAAATTCATGGTGCAAGTGCAAGAAAAAGCTGGGAGTTCAAGAGAAGATTTTCTTAAAAGCAAAAGAACCTTCTGGAAAAGTCTATATTAAATGTACCTAAGAGCTCAGAGCACACATCAGTCACTTGCAGTCAGCTGTGCAGACTGTAGACTCGGACCCAGGCATTACAAACCTAGAATATTCAAGGTTGATTTTATTTAAAACCTAAAACATTAAGGTACAAAAATGGATACATGGACAGACAACTATAATTTTACCAAGTACTGTTATTAACAGAGAGACATAACTAAACCTTTAGAACCCCTTTACCCCTGGTCTTTGTGCACTGCTATGTATTCCCAGTGTTTCTGGGGTTTTTACATCTCAGCAAAGGCAGAGATAAGGTTCATGCTAAATTAAAAAGTTTTACTTGTGAAGAACATTAGGTGAAAACACCCTAAATCTTTAAGTTTCATATTTAAACACAGCTATGCTGAGGCTTTCAGTGACTTTTAACCATAAATAAACTTACAACAGTCTGCGATATGGCAGAATTAAGTTTGTATCTATGTATATTATATTATATTACATTACATTATGGCCCACAGAGGGCCAACTTTTACTTGTTGCTGAAATGCAACCGCCTCTGGGATGAAGGGAAGCTTATTGAAACTTCAGCAAGAAATGAAGAACAATGTAGCCAACTGAAACTCAAGAAGAGTTTGGGGGGAAAAAACCTGATGTTGACCACTTAAAAAAAGAAAAAAAAGTATTTCACAATTATGCTTCAATGGGCTGTGATTTCTGCTCTTAGACATATGTATTACTGCAGACTCTGTCATATGACATGGAAAATAATGGTTCTGACCAAACCTGGTAAAGAAAAAACTCTTGTAAAGTATTATATAATAATAGAAGAGTCTATTTAAGTCTAACTTTAGGTGAGCTTGCACAAATCTAGGTACCAGTAAATGCTGTTTGGCTTGACCCACAGCAGGAAAGGGAGCATCCACAGCTTTTACTTCCTGCAGCTAGTTCTCACCAGCTTTGGGCACCCTGAACACAAGTGTCAGTTCCATTTACCGGCTGTCATTCATTTTCATTTTCCATGTTTAATGTTAAACACCATAAAATAGTATTAATGAGTATTAGCATTTTAATATCCTCCCTGTTTTATTAATCTGTGATGAAGCATGAAATCTAGCCCTGCTGCCAGCACCCACCTGTGAAATCTGCTGTTACCCTCCGTGGGGAGCTGCAGGGGGCCTCCCTTGCTGCCATCGTCAGCACAATCAGCTACACCTACAGGTGCAGAGTGTGTTTGTGATTCTACACCACAAACAAGCAGATCATTAGCCTTTTCATACCTACTTATGCCTTTTTTTTTTTATTTTATTTTTTAACAGGAAAATGTTACCTCTTGTACAACTATGCAAGCATACGCTGGGTTGGGTTCTGATCTTAGCTCCATGGCCTTCAACAGAGATTGTTCAGATCACATCAAAAGGAGAACATGAGGCTGGTGCTCATAATTAATGTTAGAAATGTATACATAAATACAACTAAACAAATCCTAAGGCAAATTACAGTTTTGGCCAGAAAGAAGTTGCATGTTTATGCAGAACAATAAAGATGTAAGAAA